TGAAAGCAGGACAGTGACTAAGGAGACAGAAGAAGAATTGATGCCTTTGAGTTGTGGTGCTGGGGAAGAGTATTGAGTATACCATGGACTGCCAGGAAAACAAACAAGTGTGTCCTGGAGTGGGTGAAACCAAGTTGTTCTTTGGAGGGAAGGATTTTGAAGCTCCATCTCACTTACTTTGGCTAGGAGGGACCAGTCCCTGGAGAAGGAAGGACATCATGTTTGGAAGGATGGAGGGACAGTGCAAGAGGGGACAACCCTGGATGAGATGGATTGTCACAACAACTGGCATAATGGGTATAGGTGTGTCAGAGACAATGAGATTGGCTTAGGATAGAACAGGGTCCAGAGATATTGGGCATAGGGTCTCTGAGTCACAAGCAACTTGATGACAGATAACAGCAACAACAATCTTTATGGAAGTAGATGACCAAGTTTTTTACCACAGCACTATTGGGTAACCTTTGTACATGTATTAAATATATTAATCTTTATACCTATATTAAATATGTTTCTTCATCAAGGTTTATAGTCAGCAAGATAACCATGAGTAAATTGTGCCTTTAACATCAGTAGGAACAAGAGAATCTACTGTAAAATATACCCTCTAACAGGTGTCAATCTCCAGTGATAAAAGCAATAAAAATGTGTTTCCTCTGTGGGTAGCATGTGAGGTCTCAAAAGTCTGTGGGTGGTCATCTAAGATATAACTATTCACCTCAACTTCTCTAGAGCAAAAGAGAAGAAAGAAAATAAAAGACTCAAAGAAACTAGTCTACATAACTAGTAGTCCACAAAACCATGACTTCATCTGTCCATCCTGAGACCAGAACTAGATGGTATTCAGTTACCACTACCTACAATTCTGACCAGAGACACAATAGATATTTTTGGACAGAATGAGAGAAAATACAGAACAAAACATAAATTCCTAACAAAATGGTCAGGCCTAAGGGACCAGTAGAAACTGAAGTAACTCCTTAGACTATTGCCATGTTGTTGTTGTTAGGTGCCATAGAGTCATGTACTACTCATAGCGATCAACAGATCTGAACCCTGTACTATCTGTGTCATCCTCATCATCTCTGACACACTTGAGCCCATTTCTGCAGTGATGAGACCAATCTATCCCACTGTGGGTCTTCTTCTCCTTCTCCAACCCTCTACCTTTCCATGCATGATGCCCCTCTCTAAGGAATAGCTTTTCCTTGCAACATGCCCAATCTCAGGTTTAAGTCTACCAGCTCTTCATTGGAAAAAGCTGAGGCAGTTTCTTCCTTTACAGATTTATAGCCTCAGAAACCAATGGAGGGTCACCATGAGGCAAAGTTGACTCAAAGTCATCAGTTTAATTTTGTGTTTAGGCTAACAGTCACACTCTGTAATATAACAATTGATTAAATAACTGAAATAAGTACAGATCTACTTTCTATCCCTTTTCACCTAAACTAGGATTATTGGCTGTCTCTTCTGTTCAAGAAATTGGTGGGTACCAGAGTGTTCATGGCAAATGTAAAAGGTCCAGACAGAAACAAGCTTCGAGTATACCTTCATTGCACAAACAGCAATCAGTAAGTATGAAAAGCATCCTATACCAATCAATTTACCAGTTATGTGCTTAGTCACCAGCAGATAACTTTCTACACTAACACTCTGTTGTCATATACAGTAATACTAAGCTTTGTCAATGGGCTTTTCAAATTCATGATGATATAGTTAAGAGTATTGTTGTTAACTCCTAACTACAATGCTAGCACCAAGACAGATGGAGAGGAAATTGAGGTTGTTAACAGTTACCGCTTGTTCAGCTCCACAATTAATCATCTTGGCATCAGCCGCCGGCAAATTAAAAGATGAATTGCATTAGTCAGGGACCTCTCCAGAGCATTGAGAAGAAATTATGTCAGTCTAGAGACTAAGGTGTGCCTTAACCAGGCCATGGTCTTCATAATTACTTGCTATGCATCAGAGAGCTGGACAGTGACTAAGGATGACAGAAGAAATGATGCCTTTGAGTTGTGGTGCTGGAGAAGAGTCTTTAATATACCATGGGCTGCCAAGAAAACAAATAGGTCTGTTTTGGAGAGGGTGAAACCAAGTTTCTCCTTGGAGGCTAGGATTTTGAAGCTTTATCTCAAATATTTTGGGCATTTGACCAAGAGGGACCAATCCTTAGAGAAGGACATCATGCTCAGAAGGGTGGAGGGACAGCGCAGGAAAGGAAGACCCCAGAGAAGATGGATTGTTATAGTAACTGGGGCAATGGGGGTAGGTGTGTAGGAGTCAGTGAGACTGGCTCAGGACAGGGCAGGGTTCGAAGCTGTTACATAGGGCCACTGTGAGTCGCAGGTGACTCGACGGCACATAACAACAACAATATAGTTAAGAGTCTAACTAAGAGAAAACATAGTTTAAATATAGGCATTTATAGTCTAGTAAAGGTTTATATAATTATTTTAATTGCTATAATCTATAAAGGAAATGTATAATAAATGTATATATAAATAGTTAATAAATCATAGTACTAATAGAATAAATTCAGTGACTGGGGTAATCGGAATGGGTGTGTCAGAGGCAGTGCGATTGGCACAGGATAGAGCAGGGTTTAGGGCTGTTGTGCATAGGGTCGCTGTGAGTTGCAAATGACTCAACGGCACATAACAACAATAGAATAAAACTTAACTATTTTGTACTCATACTCCTAATCATTGCCATCATTTTGGAACTGCCTCATATTGGACCTTCCAGTGGATTTTCAGAGACTATAAATTGTATAGAAAAGATTTCCCCTGTTTTTCCCACAGAGTCACCGGTTGCTGTTAATGTTTTGGTTGAGAACCTTCAGGTTGGAATTAGCCTATAGTTGACTTTCTGGCAGGTTTTCCAAGGCAATGAATTGCACAAGAGCAGATTGCTTCTCCCCTGGAACAACTGGTGGATTCAAACTGCATGCCTATGGGATTGCAGTACAGCTTCTTAACATTAGGCCACCAGAGCCCCTGATTTATTGAATTAATATAAATAATAACCCAAAAGAGTTAATAATTTTATGAGTATACTTATCACCTTATGTCATACCTGATAATTTTAATTTATTAAAGAAGCAACAATAACCTTATTGTCTTAAAAGTCCAACAAATGAATAAAAAAGAATTTAAAAAAGAAAAAAGTAAAGAAAAGGCTCAACAATTTTATTCAGTTTTGAGGTCATAGAGATTTTTGTGAACCAGGCTCTGGCCTCATGTAGCAAAAAATATTCTTAAATCTCGGAATTTTTTTTACTATGATTAGTTTGAACCCTTCCTTCCTGGCTATCATGCTAGGTCCTTTCTGGTGAATGGGAGTTCTGTCGAGAGTAAGAATCATAATGGAGTAATGGGAGATTGATTTGGATGGATAAATTCTGCAAAGCATCACTAGATTAAACTTCTTTTTGTTCATTTCAAATATAAGGCTAAAAAAAGTCCCCGTTCATATGATTTGTAATTTGAATCCAGGAACCCAAAATATTTAGTGCAATGCCTAATTCACAAACTGACACGGAAACCTTCATTTTGATTTGAGAAATGGATTATGTGCTAATTTTAGATTACTATAATAAAGCAACTTTTCGCGATGCTTTTTCTTATTTAGTCTTCTTACACAGACTCAAACACAGCAGCAGCCCAGTGATGACTGAGGATGACACATGACTGGGCAGTGTTCTGTTCTGTTGGGCATAGGGTCACTATGAGCCCCTCGACTCCATGGCACCTGACAACAACAACTCATTTTAAAATCCAAGGGCTACTTGAGAACTAAATAACTTACTGGCAGCTCAGCAGAGTAAAACTGCAAAGACCTGAGAATATATTCACCCTGAAAATGCTGCTGTAAAGAGCAATATTTTTTTATCCAGTTTGCACAAGAAGACCACACCAGTGGTGTAATAAAGCCCACTGCCATTGATGCGAACTCATAACAATCCTTCATCAGCTTTCCAAGGCTATAAATCCTAACAGGAGGAGACTGCCTCTCTTTCTCCTGTGGAGCAGCTAGTGCTAACTTGGCCAACAGTGCAACACATCATGCGCTACATGACTTAGTGGTTTCACTCACTGACTATGACATGGAATTGACTCCTAACTGACCTTCCTCTGAGTTTCGAAGGCTGTAAATCCCATGGGAGGAGATTGCCCATCTTTCTGCTGTGGAGCTGCTGGCAGATTCAAACCACCAGAGAGATGCAGCCTCTGTGTTATCAGCACGGCTCCCTATGTATGGACCACACCACAGAGTGCCCCCTTAGTGGTCTGATAATAGTACCATAAAAGGGAGGATTCTTAGAGGACTCATAGTCATCACCATGGATACTGATGTTCAGGATCATCTTTACAGCAGAGTTTTTGATTACTTCAATGAGGGAAATATTTTTACTGAGTTAATCTGTCTACTTTTTAGCCCTAGGTATAAAGAAGGAGATTTAACTCTGTATGCCTTAAACCTGCATAATGCCACCATGCGCTTAAAGTTGCCATATCATTTCTTTGACAAGCAAGTGGATAAATACCTCGTAAAACCTTCAGGACCTGATGGATTACTTTCCACGTGAGTTCTCATCCTTATAATTCCTAACTTATTTGTTGACATTTACAACAATCATAGACAGGATTGGAGGAAGGGCCAGAAGCTCGCTCGTTATAGAGGCAAGGATGGTGAAACTCAGTCTCACATACTTTGGGGATGCTTCCAGGTGGGACCAGTCCTTGGAAAAAAGACATTATGCTGGGCAAAGAGAGGGTCAGTGAAAAGGAAAAAGAGCCTCAAAAAGATGGATTGACTTAGCGATTGCGACAGTGGTCTTGAGCCTGTCAGAGACCACGAGGTTGGTGCAGGAGGGTGCAAAGTTCAGCTCTGTTGTGCATAGGGTCGCCATGCATCATAGTCGACCTGACAGCACATAACAATAACAACAACAACAATAAAAGTAAAGTACTTCATGTTCTAACTATTCTTAATGTCCAGGAATTTTATCTGGGAATACTTATTAACACAATTATAACTCATTTTGAGAGTCCAAAGCAGAAAGTGTAAACATAAACTAACATTACTTTAGGGAATATTTTGCATTTCAAAAAACTTGGTATAACAAGATCTATTCAGTGCATTTAGATTATTCGCACTAAGAAGGCTTATAGTGTATGGTATGGAGACAGGACACATCCTTGGCATACGCCCTTCCCAATTTTGAACCATGCAGTGTTTCCGGGAGGCTGGGCTCTATGAGGAGAAGTGTGGTGTCAGGATTGGTGGAAGATTCATCAACAATCTGCGCTATGCAGATGACACAACCCCGCTTCCTGAAACTGAGGAGGACCTGAAGCACTTCCTCAGAGGGTCAAGGACTGCAGCCTCCAATATGGACTGAGGCTCAATGTCAAGAAGACAAAGATTCTCACCACTGGACCAATTGGCAGCATCAGAATGGATGGTGAAGAGATTGAGATTGTACACAGCTTTAGTTTGCTTGG